CAAGAAACCATTCACCATGGTGCAAGGCTTCTTTCACATTTCTAGGCTCTTCCTTGGAAAATGCATTTTAACCTCTAATTCTTAGTGGTTATATGTCTCCGGAGTATGCCATGGGCGGCCTCTTTTCTGAAAAATCAGATGTGTTTAGCTTTGGGGTAATCTTATTAGAGATCATAAGTGGCAAGAAGAACGTTGCCTTATTTGAGGTTGATAATCAGCTAAACTTACTCGGCAATGTAAGCAACTTATATAAACCCATGGAAATGTGTTCTTTAATTATAAATTTCTGCTAACTATGATTTTTGAAACTGAGTTATTATTTCAGGCCTGGAATCTGTGGAAAGAAGGCAAGAGCATGGAATTGGTAGATTCAACATTGACTGCTTCTTGTTCAAGCCGTGAAGTTACCAGATGCCTTCAGATGGGACTTCTGTGTGTGCAAGAAAGAGCTACGGATCGACCAACCATGGCGGATGTTGTTTCGATGCTAAGCAATGAAACAATAGCCATGGCGCTTCCCAAAGAACCTGCATCATGGAGTCAGCTAAGTTCCAGTGATGCAGATTCGTCGTCGAGTAGGCAAAGACACCACTCTACATTTGATATGACGATTTCAGGAGTGCACGGAAGGTAGCGAGGCAATGTTTTTTCAGAAAAAAAAATTGTTCACTTACAATTATACTGCTGTTTGGTGTAGTCTGTAGAGTTTGTTCCACTTGTATCAAAGTTGTAATATATAGCAAATATTTCTATTTAATAGTTGGTTAATACAGAAATCTAATTCAGCCCGCCAAAATAGATTTATCTGAGTTCTTCCTCTATATGACTTTCAATTTGTCAAGCCAAAATAAACAAACAAATTGATTAATTGTAACTTCGACCTAATGCTGTGCTAGACATATGAACCCTGATATCGTAGTGGTACAGGAAAAATGATTTCAGTCAGGCATTTTGTCGAACAGTTTCTTAAATCATAGGATTTCAAGAAAGCAAATCCCTCTCAGCCATTTCATTAAACACTTCCGGCATCCATAGGACCCCCCCCACATTAGCTCCTATCATTCTCACATCTTTGGTTCTTTTTTCTTTCTTTTTCTTTTCTCTGTTCAAAAGGTACAAACCACCAACTTGCCACTTGCGGGTTCCCCCGTGTGTTGCATGTCAATTATGTTTGTTATTTTTCCAGGAAAATAGTTGGCTTGACAAGAATGGATTCACATGTGTATTCATAGTGTTTTTTTTTTTGGCCATAGTTTGGATGAGGATGGGGGAAACTCACACACACGAGTAACATGAGAGTTTGAACTTAGGACCACTTGAAAGTACACCAAAGGCCTGAACCAATCCAACTATTACACTCCATAATTAGTATGTGTATTCATAGTTGACATTTCGATTTTACTGCATATATAACTACATATATGTTAAGCCTAGAAAAGGGATGCTCCAATTATATTATATCCTTTAAAACTACATAACCATTACCCTCGTTCAGTAGTCATATATGTATCAAACAAATCGAAGATTTTCGTAACATTTAAGATATTATACATATGAATGACTAAAGAATTTGCAATTTGGTTGATTTCTTGCACATATGATATTTAAATGGTAATTTTGAAAATGAACCGGTTTTGACGTGTGTACACGGGGGGGATCAGAAAGTCCGCCTCATAGCATTGACCTAACTTATTTTATGTATATAGATATATCGTTCCTTTCAAAATAAATAGAATAGTTGACTAATGAACCTGCATATCAATCAGGAGAAACTTCCAAGTCTTCCCATCTTAGACCTTACTACCTTCAATTAATATTGATTGGCTTTAAATCATCTCTCATCTGTAATGGCCATGTCTCTTCCTCTTCTTTGCTTGATATCATTCTTTAGCTTCTTTTTATTCTCATCTCATGCAACAGACACACTTGCATCTTCAGACAAATCTGGAGACAACCAAACCCTGGTCTCATCTGAGTGCAGCGATGGAGCTAATTTTTCTAAGATGACTGGTTCGCTGCCATCTACGAGTGGTGTTTCCGTTAGTAGTATTGGTATTTCTGATTGCCAAACTTTGTGCAAGACCAATTGTTCTTGTGCCGGATTCGCTTCTCTTCAGAATGAATCAACATGTCAACTTTATTATGGGAGTAAACAGAATCTATTGAAGATCATAGAGAAAGGGGCAGGGCTTATTTACATCCGTGATCGTGCTTCAAGTGGTAAGTCTAATCAAAACTCGGGAACTCCATTCCTTAAATTTCAAACGGGGAATAAGAATGAGTTCCAAAATAAATGAGCATATATATAATAATAATAAAAAACACAGAAAAGAAAATATTACAAAAAATGTATAATGATGAAATATGAAGTTGTTCAATTTACTTGTCTAGGTAATAAGAAGGATAGTCTCTGGTTAATTGTGGCGGTTCCTTTGGCTTCCCACTTGGCTTTTGTTTCAATCTCGTTATATTGTTTTGTGCGTTGGAGAAGGTGGCGTAGAGGTATGAGTTTGATTTATCAAGTTGATTTCTTTTTTTGGTCGAAAATCAAGTCGATTTATTAGGGATGTGGATTCAAACTTGTAACATATTTCAATCTTGAAAAGTAGAGAAGTGTCGAGCTAATTGTGTTGGTTATCATCAGGTTGAGTTCTAAACATAATTCTTGGAATTAAAAAAAAGTTGATGCAACTTACAATTAAATGATCATTTACCACGTGGTAAAGGATCCTTTAATTATTATATGTTTTGAATATAAGTGATAGTCTAAACTACAAGATGAATGCGGAGTTTCATACACTACCAAGGTGCCATAGAGGTTCGAATCTGAGACCACTAGTTTGCAAGTCAAGACCCTTTTACGCTTAGCTAGACCTCGTTATCCTTTTCATTATTATATTATCCTATAATGGTAGGCTCACTATTTTAATTTATCTGATGTCACAGGCATTATATTTATGCTATTTAACGAGAATAAATTAGTAAGCTAATGACGAATATGGCCTTAATGGGAAAATATCAATGATTTTTATGGTCTGATTATATTGAAACCAGAAGATCAAGCAAGGAGACGAGAAGAAGGCATTATCAATCCTGATCATGAAGGTAGCGGTGCAATTAACATGAATGTAGGCAGACAGAAGGATCAAGAATTGCCCTTTTTTGGTATTTCTACAATAAAGGCTGCAACAAATGACTTTGCCAAGGCTAATAAACTTGGGGAAGGTGGATTTGGGCCTGTCTATAAGGCAAGCCATCAATTAACTCCTTACTTTACGTAGCTCATAATGACAATTTTTATTTCTTATTACCAAAATCTTCTTAATTAAATTTTATTACAGCAACATGTATGCGTTATGGAAATTGCAGGGCAAGTTGCTTCCACAAGGACAAGAAATTGCAGTGAAAAGGCTGTCCAAAATTTCCAGGCAAGGGTTGAATGAGTTCAAAAACGAAATTTCAGTAATTTGCAGGCTCCAGCACAGGAATTTGGTTAGGCTTTTGGGATGTTGCATTGAAGCAGAAGAAAGTATACTGATTTATGAGTACATGCTGAAAATGGTACTTAGGTGACAAGGGGTAAACTTAATCACACAAACAAGACACAACAACACAGCAAGCTTCACACACTTTAAACCTAGACCAAATACGCATATGACTAGTCAACTACTAGTCAAGAAACAATCGCAACCAATAGAATGCACAGAGCATGCCACAATGTACCTGCAATCCTAGAAGATTACTAGTGACAACCTAGGCACTCAGAAGGACCCGTCAATCTAGGCATCCCCTGTGCTAGCAACAACTATGGTGAAAGTGTGTGAAATCATCATTATCATGTAATCATCAAACAGCAGATACAGATGACTAGTCAACCACCAAGAACACAAACCCAGAAAAATTACAGATATGCAAAACAAATTTTGTTCACCCAGAAACCCACCATTGGGAAAAACTGGGAGTCATCAACCGACCAGGCATTCCACTAAGTAGAAAAAGATTCTTACAAAGGAAACACAACCAAGCTCAAGAAGCACCTAGGTCTATTTAGGAATATGAGCAATACCTCCTTTGTGCAATCTTCTTCTCCAACTTAGCAAAGCTTGAAGCTCAGTCCTTCATGGCAATGGCAGCTCCTTCTCCAGCTCGTTCATTCCATGGCACTAGCTTGCAAGCTCCAACACAAACCGAAACCAATTTGGATTCAAAGGAGAAAGACCAATTTCTTCAAGAAACCATACTCTTGAAGAAATCAATCTTGAATCCGACCTAGATATAAATGATAGAATGATTCAAATAGCTAGATGCAGATTTGTGTTTCAAATGCAGTTTTTCAAAAAGAAATCAATTGGAAAAACTCATAGATGAAATCATGGTTCTCTCGTGGAAGGAGAAGCGAAAGAAGGCAAGCCAAACTTTCCAAAACTTCCACCCGAAAAGAGACGACTACCAAATGAGAAATCTCGTGGGCTATACAGACCCACAAAGTCGTTAGGTCAGGAAACCCACTTGGCAGCAGAGAGAGAGAAAGAAGAATAGGACAAAACAGTTTGTTATCTAGCTGGAGGCAAGGATGACTAGTCATATGAGAAACGGTTGACTAGTCATCTTTTTATGAAGACTGTTTTATGAAATGATATGCAATGCTCAATACCTTTGTCAACTTGCTTGAGCCACCATAGAGCTGAGATTAGAGAGGAGCACTAATAGAAGTTTTCCCTAATCTAGACTTGAGCTTGATAAATTACATTACACAACCTATTACAAAGTTGTCAAGGGAAGCCAAAAGAAATTAGTAAAAACCATACATTAACACATGCCCAACAAAAGCCTGGATTCTTTCATTTTCGGTTTGTCCAATAAGATCTTCTGAGCTAGTTTCGACATGTTCTGTATAGGTTTCATGTTGATCTTGTAAAACCTTTTTCCTGTTTTCATTACTTTTTTTTCAATCATGTGCAGATTCAACCAAACGGGTGCTTTTGGATTGGAGAAAGCGCATGAACATTATCGAAGGGATTGCTCAAGGTCTTCTGTATCTTCATAAATACTCAAGATTACGGATCATTCACCGCGATATGAAGACCAGTAATATTCTGTTGGACTGTGACATGAACCCAAAAATATCGGATTTTGGCATGGCACGAATTTTCGGGGATAATGACACCAGGGGACAAACAAATCGGGTTGTTGGTACATTGTAAGTAAACTTTTCTGCAGTATGTACTTCTGGAGAATTTACATGCTCATACTCAATATTTGGTTGTCTTTTATTCAATGTAGCTAGTACTTTTTTTTTTCAGTACAGAGATGTGTAATTAACGCATTTTCACCTATCATTGTTAGTGGTTACATGTCTCCGGAGTACGCTGTGGATGGTCGTTTTTCTGAAAAGTCGGATGTATTCAGCTTTGGAGTTATGTTATTTGAGATCATAAGTGGCAAGAAGAATATAGCCTTCTTTGAGGCTGATCACTCCCTAAACTTGCTAGGCATCGTAAGCAACTTTAACAAACCCCTCAAGTATATCCAATCACTTTTTATTTGCGTTTGTGTATTTGTTCCTACAGTTTTTAAAATTCTATTTTTGCAGGCTTGGAATTTGTGGAAAGAAGGCAAGAGCATGGAGTTGATGGACTCAACATTGAGCAGTTCTTGTTCAAGCAGTGAAGTCACCAGATGCATTCAGATGGGTCTTTTGTGTGTGCAAGAAAAGGCTATGGACCGACCAACCATGTCGGATGTTGTTTCGATGCTAAGCAATGAAACAATGGCTCTGCCTCTTCCTAAAGAACCTGCATTTTTTAGTCGATCCAGTGATGCAGAATCATCTTCAAATAGGAAAAGATGTCACTCTGGAAATGACATAACAATTTCAGACGTAGATGGTAGGTAGCAAAGGCAAAGTTGTCCGCACACCGGACCAAGTACACAACCAAATGCTTCACGCTTTGTATACAAACATGATTGTTTATTTTCGATTGGATTGGATAGGATTTGGACTGCAATGCCTGAGTCCTATCCTGTGTTTGGTGTAGTATGATTGAACATAATTAATTTGTCCAGCTAATTAACTAGTTTATTGATTAAATGTCACTGTGTTATCTAATTTAATTAGAATAGTCATGTCCCTAATCTCCACTTCCCACCAAGGCTTAGGGGACTCTCAAAGCATCTGGCTTCTCATCCACTTCCCACCAAGGCTTAGTTCACATTATATATCTATCAAACTTTCAACGGATTATATATATGATATGAGGAAGATCATCAAACATATACATGGCTTGAGAACTAAGAAATGGGGCTAACTTATCTCTCCTTTCAGAATAAATAAAATAGAAAATTAGTGAAATACCCATTCCTAGATATGAAACTATAAATATACCCTATACAATTTAAAGTATAGAAACACACCCAAAATAAACCCAAAAATCGACAGCTGTCGATTTTTTAAATTTAATAGCAATGTTGGATTATTGTTTTGCCCTTTGCCCAAAATAAACCCAGCTCCGAGGCTCAATTAAGATAATCGACAATTGCTCCTTCAAAATCTTGGAGCTGGTCTGTGAGAAATCGACGAGCGGCCGATTTAACTAACCTCACCGTCGGAGCCGCATCTCCAATTTTCATTGCTTTTTGGATCTCTCACTTGCTTTCTCACAGATCTTGCAGCTATTTCCATATCTCATAGCTCAATCTCTTGCATCTCAGTCACAGGCAAGGTCATTTTACAACTCAGGAGGTGGACTCGGGTCCTGATCCATGAGGCCGACTCTTTCCTCCACCAACAATGATGCGTTGCGGAGGCCTTTTCTCCGTTTGGTTTGGTCATCGAATCGAAGATCATCAACGACCGTGAGACCGAGATGTTCAGGGGCTTCGGCTTCGTCACCTTCAACAACGAGAAGACCATGAGGGACGCGATCGATGGCATAAACGGCCAGAACCTCGACGGTCGTAACATCACCTTCAATGAGGCCCAATCTCGTAGAATCGGCGGTGGTGGTAGGGGTAACGGAGGTTACAGCCGCGGAGGATATGGCGGCTTTGGCTACTAAGGTGGCAGTCATCGTGAAAGCGGTGGGGATAGCATCTCGATGACGATTCGATTTTGGCCACTTAGGTAATTTGTATTGATATTCATTTGAGTTTTGAATTGTGATTTTAATTTTTTGTTTGTTTATAATTTGGAATGATTTCAGATTCGGTTTGGTTGTGAATTTGATCTTGTGTTTTGGTTTGAGCTGTGGTTAAAAATCTGTGGTATTGGATTCGGTTTTCATATTAATTAAGGTATCCTTTTTTAGTTGAATCTGAGTATATTCGTGCTGGAGGGTTGGGTTATAGTACTTGGAATTTCTGAGTTTCCTCTTTTCATTGCTTAATTCCATCCTCCTTTTGTTTCTTTTTCTCCTTTAATATTTTCCTAGCCAATCTTTGCTTTAATTTGTTTTTGAAGTAGATTGTAGAAAAATGCAGGTGGTATTTAGAGAAAAGTAGAATAGTTGTTTGGATGTCCATTGTTTGCCTCCCCTGAATAACTCATGCACTTAAATGGGGGTTGACGCTGTAGTTATATTCTTTCATATTCCTAGCGAAGTCTCATGCTCTAACCATTGTGGGTTTGTGCATACAGCTCAAATCAAATATTAGCAAATTTGATGGCCAGAGTTGTTCACACAAGTTGCAAGAGAGCCACGACGCACCTGTGACTAAAGGTTTCACACATGACTAGAATATATACATGCATTATTGTTTTTCTATTGTTTCTTACTGTAAATTCTTTTCTGCAGTTGTATACTAGAATTTTGATGCACCAATTCTAATTCTCTTATATAAGATTCCAATACTGTGTACTATTTTTTTGTGTTTTAGCAACAAGGTCATTCTTCTCTCTTTCAGCGTTTAGGGGCAGCAAACCGAATGAGATGAAGTTTCGCTAATACTAGAGAGCTGGAGTCAGATTAGGTTTTTAGCTTAGTTGAATTAATTTTTTTTTTTTTTAATATCAAGGATTTACAACTCTTCCAAGGTTGTTTTGTGAGTTGACTGCAATTTTCATTGTAGACTTACTTTACAGCTACATTGCTGTGAAAGATGGGCTTTTTCAAAATAGAAAAAAAGAAAAACTAATTGTCATCTGCCCTGAACCATACTAAATACATTTGATTCTTTTAGTTCTCTGCTTCTTTGCCTTAAGAAGCTAGAGGCTTGTTTAATTTATGTTTACTTTTTAGTCAAGAGCAGCTCAAAAAATTTAGATTGACATTTCATGTGGTCAAGGTCTTTGGGTCCTATCTTGGATCTGTTAATGCAATAAATTTTCAATTGAGCTCTTTAGCATGTGTCAATTTCCACTGGTGCATGAACAACATTAGTCTAGAAGTAATGAAGGTAACACTTTCAATTAGTAGAAAACAGTCTCTAAAGCTTACTTTCAAAAGCTATGAAGTTGTGCTATAATGAGGTAGCTGGTTTACGAACATGGGGTTTTTGCAATTGTACACTTTTATCGTACATATTATGCAAAGGAAATGATGTAGTTGTTAACTTCCAGTAAGTGGTATGAACTGTTCATATTCTGCAACTGAGTTAATTTCTATGACATAGTATTAACAATGTACTTTTTTCTTTTTCTTGTAGAGGTATTTCCTTTTGCATTTGCGATCGTTTCTGGTGAAACTATGGACAATTGGAGGTGGTTTCTGCACAAGATATCGGATGTCTTACTGGGTTTTCTTTTTGAGTTTTTTTTGTATGAAATAGTATTAACAATGTTTTCTATGAAATAGTATTAACAATGTTTTCTATGAAATAGTATTAACAATGTTTTCTATGAAATTGTATTAACAATGTACTTCTATTACATGATATTAACGATATACATCTATGACATGATATTAACAATGTACATCTATGACATGGTATTAACAATGTATTTCTATGAAATAGTATTAACAATGTACTTCTATAAAATGGTTTATGACATGGTATTAACAATGTACATCTATGAAATGATATTAATAATGTACTTTTATAAAATGGTTTGCGGAGGTTTGGTAAAGAAGGAAGGGTTGTGGGGACATGCCCTTGGTTTTTATGATTTTTTTTTTTTAAATTTGGATTTTTAAAAAAAATATGGGATAGGCTTGTTGGGCTTGTTTTGGGTTTTTGTTTTTGTTTTTTGTATTAAGCTTGTTTTAAGTTAATCAATGGCAGAGATGCAATATATAGGAAGATCAACACTTATTTGTTATGTAGTAAATGTTTTTTGGGTATGTTTATAAAGTGAATTCCATGTTTTGAGCTTTTTTTTTATAAAATTCGGCTGGGGTTATTTTGGGTGCTTTTTGAGTTTTTTTTTTTTTCTGTTGGGTTTGATAGTGGCAGTGGTGTAATTTATTGGAACTTCAACACTAATTTGTTATTTAATAAATGGGTTTTGGGTGTGTTTATAAAGTGTTTTTCATGTGGGGTTTTTTTATAATTTCAGCCCCTATTTTGGGTATATTAGTGAAGCTCCCTAAATAAAAAGCAAATAGTTGACTATAATGAACCACTGCATCAATGAGAATGCAAGAAATCATATTATATATACTTAATTAGAAAATAAAAAGCTAGCTAGCTAGCTCCTAGCCGTGTCTCCATCAAGACCTTCAAGCTTTAATTAATTCATTGTCTTTGCACCAATTCTCTCTCTAACTCTACAATGGCAATGCTTAACCTCTCTCTTGTTTGCTTGATATCATTCTTTACCTTCTTTTCATTTTCATATCCTGCAACGGACACTCTCACATCTTTGGACACGTTGGGAGACAATCAAACCCTGGTCTCATCCGGTGGAATTTTCAAGCTTGGTTTCTTCAGCGAAAACTTTTCGGGCTATCACTATCTGGGAATTTGGTTCACAGCTGATCCAAAAAAGGTTGTCTGGGTTGACTGGGAAAATCCCATATTGGATTCATCCGGCCTCCTTCAAATTCGGGCAGGGAATTTGGTTCTCACCGACCGGCGACAAGTCCAGTTGATAGTCAATTCAGGAAGTGTCGCCGCGGCCACTACTAATACAAGCGCAACACTTCATGACACTGGAAATTTTGTCCTTAAAGAAGTTTATACAGGCAGGGTCTGAAATTTCAAAAATATCTTAATTCAAATTCTGATAGTTTTAGTTGCATTAAAATTTATATTCTGTACTTTCAGACCCTTGAAAAACGATGGTATTTTAATTCTTTTGGACCATACAGGTACTATTATATGGCAAAGTTTTGATCTTCCAAGTGATACATACCTACCTGGGATGAAACTTTGGGTTGTATGGCTTAAACACAACCCGCCACAGCATTCACGTTTTTGTTTCTTGGGATAAACTAAGAAGATAACTTACTACATTAATTACGGTTGTTTACTATATATATATATATATATTTGAGAAAGCTTTGGCTTTTTCTAAAAGTGAAATTTTTTTTTTGGCTAAAACCTAAATTTACTATATATATATATATATATATTTATTTATTTATACAAACGAATAAATTACAACGTTTTTCCATGTGCGATGGGATCCTTTGCAACAATCAATTAATATAAATTCTTTTCCTGGTGCATAGTTTAGTCAATAATTATGTTGTTTATGTGAAGGTGTTAGGTGCTTTGGAATTCTCTCTACGAGTTCACATTTTATATATGTTTCAAACTTTCAACGAATTATATATGTCTGGGAAGTGGAAGATCATCATATATATATATATATATATATACATACAGAGAGCTTCCATTGAGGGATCCCTCAAATAAGTTTATTTGAGGGACACCCCTTGATTTAGAACAAATGGTAGATTTTATCGCGGTTGAGCTAGAAAAAGGACGTAGCGGAAATTTGCAGATTTGTCGTCCGAGCTTTGATTAGGACGCAAAATACCATTTCGGAAAGGGAACGACGCCACGAATCAAACTCACAAAAATTTTGTGATGTATGATGGATTTTGGCATTCTGAGGTCGTTTGGCCTTCCAAAACCAGGTTCCAACAAACGGCATTGTGACACTTCTCTTTTCTTTTTCCTAAGCGTCACCTTCAAGTTGTTAGTTTATGTTAATTACAAGAAAATATTCCCTATGCAAAGCATAGCCTCGGGCTACATCAAGAAAGAAAAAATAGCTTTGCCAAATCAAAAGTAATATGTATATAATATACAGAGAGCTTTTATTGAGGAATTTTTCAAATAAATTTATTTGAGGGACACCCTTATACGGCTTACTCCGCATTGTATTTCACTAATCCAAATTGTCTATTGTAGAATACTCATTCAAAGATCATTTCTACAAAAAATTACTTGAATTCGATATCATCTGACAACTCATTTGAGTTATTGAAATTTTAGTACTTTCTTGAAGTACTGTGTTCATTGATTTTATAAGACACAATTGGATGTCGAAACAGTTTCCGATTTGTCTAATTTTTTATAAAGATGATCTATGAATGAAAACTTAAAAAATAGATGGTTTGGATCATTGGGAAAAAAATTGTAGGGTGCCTTAAAAGGCGTCCCTCAAATAAAATTATTTGAGAGATCCCTCAATAGAATGAAACTATATATATGTGTGTGTGTGTGTGAAACAAGCGTCTTGATGTTCATCGATCAAATCATAAGCCATCAATTTTTGGGTTCTAGTAGAACACTGGATCAAACTTTGAAAGCTTCTGAAAAAACTTGTCACCCACCCACCCAAAACAAAAAAGAAAAAAAAAAAAAAGACTTGTCTAATCCTATTATAACCCAGCATCAAGGAAAAGAAGAGTACAACAAGCATCTCAACTTGACCTATTTCTTTATGCTAAATATTAATGTGCCCACGCCTAATCTACAAGCTATGAAATTGCCCTCCATATTAATAATTGGAGTTACTATGTATGCATTTTAATAAATCATGTCTAGCTAGGCACCAAGAACATTCTTCTCTTCTTTTTTATACATTTTTAGTATCAAAGTGGCGATCCCAATAAACCCTAGCTCGAATAATATCATATGAAAAGGAATACCTATCCATAAATCCTGGTGCATGTCATACACCATATAATATAGGCTCTTCCACAAAAAAAATTGTAGGGTACCCTAAAGGGCGTCCCTCAAATAAAATTATTTGAGGGATCCCTCAATAGAAGGGGACTGTATATATATATATATGGCTTGAGATTTAATAAATGGGGGCTAACTTATCTGTCCTTTCAGAATAAATATTATACATATATATATTTCCTTTCAAAATAAATAATTGTAAATAGTTGACTAATGATGAACCCGTGCATCAATAAGAATAGGCAGGGAAATATGATATTGTATAGATACAGTAGAAAATAAATTGCTAACTACCTCCTCCTCTAATCTGTAATGGCCTTGTTTCTTCGTCTTCTTTGCTTGGTATCATTCTTTAGCTTCTTTTCATCATCTCCTGCGACAGACACACTCACGCCTTCAGACATGTTGAGAGACAATCAAACCCTGGTCTCATCTGGTGGACTTTTCGAGTTTGGCTTCTTCAGCGAAAGCGTTTCAGGCTACTATTTGGGAATTTGGTTCACAGCTGATCCAAGCAACGTTGTTTGGGTTAGTAACCGCGACTATCCCTTATTAGATTCATCCGCCCTACTTCAAATCCGGTCCGGGAATTTGATTCTCACGGACCGGCGACAAGTGCAGAGCATAGTCAATGCAGGAAATGTCGCCACAACTAGTAATACAAGTGCAACACTTCTTGACACTGGAAATTTTGTGCTTAGAGCAGCAGATACAGGCATGGCCTAAAATTTCTAAAATAGTTCTCGGATATATCTTTTCCGGTTTTAAACATTTTTTTCTAGTACGTGTCCTTCGAAACTTTTATTTTATGTACTTTCTCTTGATTCTGTTAACATTACTGTTTAATACCTGTACAGGTATCATATGGCAAAGTTTTGACGCTCCAAGTGATACTTATCTTCCTGGGATGAAACTTGGGTCGTTTAACCTAAACGCAGGCCACCATAGCCTTCACGTTGTTAATTCTTGGGCAAGCCACCAAAACCCAGCTCCTGGCCTCTACACCTTATCCATCGATTCCAGCGACCTTACAAAGCTTTCGGTTTGGCGAGGAGATGGAGTCAAAATGGTAGTCGCTTTCTTGGATGGATATGAGTTCCGGTTTATTTTTGAGAACTCAAACGGTAGTACTAACGACTACAACTTTAGCCTCCAGTTCAATAGAAATGAGGCCTTCTACACTTTCAGCAGCAGCAAGAATTACGACCTCATGTGGCTGGTGATGAATTCCACAGGAAACCTCGACCAGAATTTTATGTTGAAAGGCAAGATTTATTCTGTGAGTCATCCTTTGTGTGCGGGTTCCAATGGTGGTAATAACGGGACGTGCTTGCCTTCAATACCATCCCAGTGTAGGGATGGAGGTGCTTTTTCTGAGATGAATGGTTCGCTGCCATCTACATCTGCTGGTTCCGGTGGAAGTATTGGGATTTCTGAATGCCAAACGTTGTGCCAGGTCAATTGTTCTTGCACCGCATTTGCTTCGGTTCAGAATGAATCAGTATGTCAACTTTATTATGGGAGTAAACAGAATCTATTGAAGATCGTAAAGAAGGGGCCAGGGCTTATTTACATTCGGGATGGTGCTCCAAGTGGTAAGTCTGAATTCCACAAATCAAATATATATATATATATATATATGCATATACAGAAAGATATCTCTGTGTATTTAGACAATTCATTCAGGCAAGATCAACCCCGTGTTCAGAGTCTCGTAAAAGAACTGCAAACACAAACAATACACACACATAAAAAATAAAATAAAAACATTAACAAATCTTCAGTCTTGAAAATATTGGTTTTCCTTATACTCTAAAGTGAAATAAATCATTGAGAAAATGGGCAAAAACTTGGGATGTCGGTTTGGTGATATCGGACTCCTCTTGATATCAAGACTTATCTTGATGTGGGATAACGTCGTTTGAATTTTATTCATTATCTTTGATATTATACATTTAAAAAATATATATTATTAAGGCTTTGACTCATGGTTTGCAATAAGAAGAAGAGATCCTTATATTACAGACGTTTACTAGATATAATATAAATTAATTCAGTCGTTTTCCGTGAAGGTGTTTTAATATGTGAGACGACTTTCAACGCAACGCACCCGAAATGGTATTTGTTCAATACTGTAGCAATATAATGCCGGCATTTCAAATATTATTAAAAATCTATCGGAGAAGATGGTATTTCCTGTTCAATAAGGTTTAGGCATAGCGCATGTTCACCTAGTTTCTGATAGGATGAATGAAGTGTAGGTTCTACTCAAAATCAATGGTAACGAAGGGAGTAGTATAACTCTTATAAGGCCATGTTAGATCTCTTAGGGCTTGTTTGATAGGCATTTCATTTTCAGTTTTCAGTTTTCATTCACTTTTTTTTTTTTTTTAAAACTGAAAATTGATGAAAACATGTTTGGTAACAGATTTCGTGTTTAGTTTTCATAAAAGTGAAATATAGTTTTCAAAATCACCCTTCTTTTTTAAAACAACTTGAAAGTATTTTCAGTTTTCAGTTTTTGTTTTCATTTTTTTTACGCTCTTGTGTTTTCAATTTTGGTAATCAACTTTCACATAAAAAATTGAAAACTGAAGAATGAAATCAGTTACCAAACAACTTGACTTTTTTTTGAAAATTGAAATTAGTTACCAAACAAAGTTATCAAATAGGCCCTTAGCTTTCCGATTTGGGACGACACTTCACTTCACATCCACAACAGTTACAACATAATCTGAAGATCATGAAGGGGCACATAAAGTTAGGGAATTCCATCCCTAAAATTTCTAACAGGGGATTTGGGATGCGAATGAGTTCAAAAGAAATAAGCACAAATATTGTACAAAATGATGTGGTATGGTTTTATGATTAGTAAGATCGTTTTTATTTATTTAAATTTTTTTAGGGAAAACTATAATATTTTGTTGATAATGATGAAGTAACAAGTACCAAAAAATCCATTGGCCTATAGATGAGCATCTCTACACATGAGGGTTCGATCGTTGTTCTAATCAAATAGCCTACTCTCTTTCGGCTTAGCCATTAAAGAGAACTTTGCCCCTAATAGAGCGTGCCCCATCCCATGCTTCTGATTAATTTTTCTCCTCCAACCTAAATAGTGTATTGTCTTTACTTGTCCAGATGGTAAGAAGCGGGAACTCTGGTTGGTTGTCGTGGGTCCTTTGGCTTCCCTTTTGGTTCTTGTTTTAATCTCGTCAACTTGTTATATGCGTTGGAGAAGGCAGCGTAAAGGTATGAGTTTGATTTATCAGGCTGATTTATTAGGTTAAGCGGTTTTGAACTCTTACCACATTTTGGTAGCACAATTTGATACCGCATGATGTGGTACATGACATGTCAATCACATGTCATTGGCCACATAATCAATTCTCTTTTAATTTACTCCAAATTTATAATTTAATCTTGTTAGAGTATCCACAATAGGCTCCTTAAACCACCCTCTTAGCTAAAATGTAGCTTACTGATTGTTTGAATTACTATGATGATTAATGAAAGATTGGGTAGGTTACAATGGTTGGGTTTAGGGTTTAGGGTTTAGGGAGATTATTTCAGACTCTTAATGGTCTTTGAAATTTTGTTTGTTGTTTCGTTATATTTCTTTGGGCAGACTGTTAACAGACCAAGAAGCAATGCTTCTAATTTCAAATAAAAGTCCATAATGTCATCGGTTGTGTTTAGTACTGTAATCTCATCTATCTCTTCCTTGTATTCGGCATTGTTGTCTATTCGTATATCGACGCTTCTACAACTCCGTCGCGTGCATTAAGATATGCGTAATGAACTTAGAACTATATGTGTATGTATCTTACCATGAAGGAAATCTCTCTACGGGTTCGTGTTGACGAAGAGGTTATGTTGATGGCAACTGTATGGTGGTGATGGTGTTAGGGTAATATTCAATGGTAGATGATGGTGTTTCAAATGATTAGTGAATTAAAATATAAATTTTGAGTAAATTAAAATTGATGAAAAATAAGAATACTTAAGTTGAAATTAAGTGATGTAGTATAGAATTGTGGTTCAAATAATAATGCTAAGCATTATTATTTGAACTTGCTATACCTCTCCCAAGATTGAAAGGACAAGTACAACTAATAAATTAAAAGCTTATGATCATTATCATTTTGAGTTGTTAAATACAGTTGTTGGAAGTTAAAAAAGTTACTGCACGTTACGATGTATAGAGAGAGTAAAGTGATTAGTGGGAGAAAAAAAACCGGGGTAAATGGTCTTTTAATTAGCATTTGTTTTTTTACACAAGCGATGGGAGAGAAGGGATTCGAATACAAGACCTCCTGTACATGGGTAATTGCTCTTAACTATTTGAGCCATAAGCACCTTAGTATACTAGCACGCAAGTGCCAACTGACCTTTTTTATATACTAGCCCCTTGGCACATGCGCATGTGCCAATTGGTTTATTTATTTATTTAATTTGTATTAATCAAGAATATTTTTTGGTATTTTGAATGTTTCACCATTCTCTGCCTTTTGCTATATATATATATATATATATATATTTCTTTTGTATGTATATTCAATTTAAAAATGAAATAATTTACCTTTTTTAAATTTATATATAATATTCTTTCTTTTATTTAGTTATATAATAATTCCTTGGCACACACGTATGTTTATAATTTTTGCTCTTTTTTTTATCACTTTAGAATTAAGAAAGAGAAAATGAGTTTGGTTGCTGTGTCTCATGAAAGTAGGACCCATGTTATTATTTTGATTTTGAGATTTTAAAAATTTTTAATATGAAAAATTGTGAATTTATTATATCATCATTTTTTTAATGAGGGTAGTTTCAATTCTTAATAAATTTATGAACCAAGGACAACTTTTGATATTTTACTATTTTACATTCATTATATTAGATTGTCGTGTTTTAATATTTTTGTTAAGCATGGGCATTTTCATGGTTTATGAATGATTCATCGTTCGAGGCTTTTGCCTTTATATATATAGACTATCATGAAATTGTAGACTTATTATTTTGGTTATTTATTAGGTCCAGTTTGGGATTGCTATTATTTTTAAAAAAAGGTTGCTTATGCTATGTTTTGAAAATAATCAGCTATAAAGTAAAGCATTTACATGTTTGGAAAACATTATTTTTAAAGTGATGTTAGTATAAAAAGCACTGAAACTGTTATAACTGTGGATAATGACTAAAATGCACATGATGTTGAGAGTGTTATGTGCTAACAATGTTGTGGTCGTGTTTGTTGTGAGGGGTGGGGGGTGGGGTTTGGTGGTTGTGGAGGTGAGGTGGAGGTTGTGGTGGTGGAGGAGGTGAGGTGGAGGTGGAGGTGGTGGTGGTAGAGGTGGTGGTGGTGTGTGGTGGGTGGTGGTGGTGATGAAGGTGGAGGTGAGGTAGTGGTGGTGGTAGACGATGTCATTTTTAAACATTAATGATAGTATTATGGGAATTGAAAAAATTCATTAAAGACTCTTATCTGCTTCTTGTGAAAATATCTTTGAAAAGCAACCTAAAGGCTGCTTTCAGAAGGCCATTACTTTTAAAATAATCATGATATTTTATTTTTACCAAACACCTTAAACTGCTTAACTTTAAAGTGAAGTATATTTTTGGCCAAAAAAAGGCAATCCCAACCGAGACCTTAGTATTGTTAAAAGAAAAATGTTGATATTTCATATCTTCAAGTTGATAATGTAGGTTCCCCTAATGAAGATGTATACGTTATACTGTTACTTTATCAAGGGTATATATATGTTGTCTGATAAGAAATATTTTTTTCTTAATACAAATGATAGTCTAAATTATTCTAAATTAATCTAATCTACGGGAAAGGAGACTCGAACTTGGGTGCAAGGGTATGAATATGCTCTTAATATCTTATAAATTTCTTAATAAATAGGGATCATTATGGTAATTAACTTCTCTAGATTTAACAACATACGCTGTTACACATGGGATTGAGAGTAGGTATGAGAATATATCTGAAACTATCAATGATTTTTCTTGTCTCTCATGTTGAAACCAGAAGATCGAGCCAGACGAGAAGGCATTATCAATAGTGATCATGAAGTTAGAGGTGCAATTAACAAGAAATTAGGCAGACAGAAGGATCAAGAATTGCCCGTTTTTAGTTTTTCTACAATAAAGGCGGCAACAAGTGACTTTGCCAAGGCCAATAAACTTGGGGAAGGTGGATTTGGGCCTGTCTATAAGGCAAGCCATCAGTTAAATTCCTAATTTATGTAGCTGATAATGACAATTTTTATTTGACATTCCCAAAATCTTACTGCAACAAGTACACATTATGGAAACTGCAGGGCATGTTGCTTCCAGAAGGATTAGAAATTGCAGTGAAAAGGCTGTCCAAAATTTCAAGGCAAGGGTTGAAGGAGTTCAAAAACGAAATTTCAGTAATTTGTAAGCTCCAACACAGGAATTTGGTTAGGCTTTTGGGATGTGGCATTGAAGCAGAAGAAAGTATACTAATTTATGAGTACATGCCGAACAACAGCCTGGATTCTTTCATTTTTGGTTCGTTCAATTTGATCTTTTGAGCTAATTTGACACATTAACATTAGCACGTTTTATATGTTGATCTTGTAATCCTATTTTCATTATTTTTGCTCAATCATGCATGTGTAGTAGATTCAGGCAAACGGGTGCTTTTGGATTGGAGAAAGTTCTAATTTTCATTTTTTTATCTCATGTTCTCTCTATTATTTGGGAATGTGAGGTAAAAGAAAAAAAAAACAAAACAAAAAAAAACAAAACTAAAACTAAAAATTTAATCATCAAAAAACATGAAGATTGAACGTAGACTTCCATTTAAGTCAAAGTAATTTACATTGTATTATTACAAGCAAAATAACAAGAAAGTAACAAACTTTCAACAAAATACTCAAAACTATCCATAATCCATTCTTCTTGTCCTCAGCAAAAACTACACTTCAGTTTCAAAGCCTGCAATAGATTCAATAAGGGGTGAGCATTACATGCTCAGTAGGGGTCCTATGTCTTATGTGATTAGTGAGATTTATAATGTACAATTTATACAATGCATAAATGAACTTCAATTCTACCCAACCCGTTAATCTATATAATAGGGCAAGCAAATCTGCATGTCCCATACCAT